AGATGCGGCCGTCTGGAACGCTCTCCCTTCCGATATCAGGAAACCACTGGAACGATGGACTTTTAATTCGTCTATATCGATAACTACTTTCTTTCGAACTGCCGTTTGTGGTTTAGTTTGTTGTACTTCACACCTACGATTAGCACGGTCGGCTACATACGGTGTGAAAGAAGTTCAACGTACAGAGAGATGGGACCTCGTCTGTAAACAAACATCTTGCAGTTCACCAGCATTGTTGTTGGTTCAAGCAAACTCATTCTGCTGGCGAGACAATGAATTTTGCCTCACTTGAGACAGTAAATCTAGCTGTGACGGTCCCACCTGATGATGGAGACTTGTGTTGATTTATTATTTTATTTCTATTATTTTTTCAATTATATTATTTATTATAAATTTTTTTACCTACGTGACTTTGCCGAAAAACCTAAGAGTATGAATCCTTGCAGTCACGAAAGCTTCAAATCCATAAAGAGACACTGATTGTCAAAGCCCGTACAGGGTTAACTTCTAGTGAACCGGTGCTGCTGAATCACGCACTCCCAGAAGGCCGCGTGGCTGATCGGATTTGTCAACAACAAAAAAATTACTTTTATCTTTTTTTATGTTGAAGAACAAGATAATGTGGAGAAGCATTGTTATCGGCTCATTTATTGTGTTGCTTCTGTATCTGGCTTCCCTGGAGAATTTAAACTGGATGATGTTGGTAGGCATGGGCGTATAACGACCACAGGGCTTCATTTCTCACTCAATATTTTCCGGAATGCTGCTCGGCTGGCTTGGAGTCGGGATTTATCGGCATAATGCACTAGTAACGAGAGTACCAGGTCCGCCTGTTCATAATAATCCTACATTGATTGCAGAATATATTGCCATAATCTTATATGGACAAAATAAGTATGTAACTCAAGTTGGATGCGGCACGCCAAAGCAGTAATTATTGGAATATACTTATCTATTATTTATGCATTCAGCTATTATTATTATTCCCGTATTTGTATTATTTATACAGGAGAGCCACACTGAGTCCTGCTGGTGGCGAGATGTTAACTCCCTCGCCGGGTATACAGGAGGTCGTGGGTTCGATTCCGACCCCCAATGCCTGTATATTTGTAGTTTGCGTGTCTCTCTCCCCGTGGTCACGTTGATTTTTCTCCGGCTCCTCCGGTTTTTACCTCTACATGTAGAATCAAATTTCGATTTAAAGCTTTCGTGACTGCAGGGATTCATATCATTGGTTCTTTCGGTAGTCACGTAGAAGGGAAATAAGAAAAAAAACACAGCAAGAAAATGTCCTTGCTGTGGGTTTCACACCTGATGACGATTGCTTGTGTTGCAATCGAAAGGTCTTGATAATTGTATTTGTTTTTTTATTTTATTATTTTTCTTCTACGTGACTTTACCGAAAGAACCAAGAAAATGTAGAATCAACATCACGCGTTTAGAGTATCTGGCTGCTGTAAATTTACACATGATAAGCCACTTCGTTGAGCTATCATTTATGGCCAGGTCGCTTCTGAGAAAAAAAAAAAGCTACATAACTCAGCGCGGCCTTACCTGGCAGAATACAAAATAGTTTCGTTTTTTTTCAAGACGGTTTCAGCCAACTAATGATGAGTGTTTATCCTACCACGTGGGAGGAGGAAACCCTGAGCTCCCGACGAAAAAACCCACGCATTGCACGAGGGGGCAACGCTCGATCCCCGTGCAGACATCGCCAGATGTTGGATCAGCCTTCTCCTCCGCGACGCCCACGAGAAGGGAGTTGGCCCTCAACATTTCCCGGAACCGCGTTCCGGCTGACATTTGTCTCTGGTAGCGCCACCCCCGCCTGTGCCCCACCACCATCGCCATCGGCACTGCTCGCCGCTTTGAGGGTTGTCATGCTGTGGCATCCGACTCGTTGGACTTAGGGGACTCACGGCCCCCGATGGATTCACTCGATTCACCGCACGCTATTGTCTAGAGAGCCCCCATCCCCGCCACCCCCCCCCCCCCCCCCCCGGTCAGTAAAGTTGCAAGAACAAAGAAAAAGTAAAACTCTTAAAGGTTTGCTTTTATTATTATAATGTGTTTATTGTTTATAGACGTTGTACGTTTCAGGAATAAATAAGCAGAAAATTACGTTTTCCTAGCTTATAAATTTGAGCAATAATGGACGTGTCGTGGAATTCCATTAAAATAAAACTTTTTAAAAACGTCAAATATACACGTTCTGCCTCGTGAGATATGTCTCCGGCAATACAGCATGCTAGCGTAATTACGTCTTCCCTTCACGTAAGTCCACAATAATATTGTGGCATATTGAGTAAGCGTGCGAGTGACGACGAACCAGCGACGCAACCGATGAACTGGCACAGTAATTTACACTATGAGACCTCCTTTACCAGTGGCAAAATGTAGCAATAGGTTTTTACCCTTTCAACTGGTACAAAAACTGACACCTTTATACAAGGCATCATGTTTGCAATAACCAGTTGTACGCCTTTTGGCGTCATCCGGTCCAACACCAATGGAGACTAGGCTCTAAGAAAAGCTGTCTCGGGTGTGGACCCATCGACTTCAAGGACAGTGCATATCATTATCAGAGTTTTTTCTTTTCTTTTTGTTTGCATTTTGACTGATTGTGTTGTGGTTATTGCAAACATGATGCCCTGTATAAAGGTGTCAGTTTTTGTACCAGTTGAAAGGGTAAAAACCTATTACTACTGGCACGGTAATGTAAAAATAAAAGCGTTTGACGTCGCTCGGCGTACAACAGGGCACGGAATTAATGGACATCCATTCCGTGCGCCAGCAATTATTCTCCGGGAGCATCGCAGCAGTGGATGTCAACCGGTCGTCAGCACGTGCGTTGCAGCCATCGTGCCAATCCCACGGTAGCGCTAACGTCAAATAACACAAGATAAAAAAAACAATTTGACTTAAAACTTTCGCGACTGCATGAATTCATATTCTATGGTTCTTTCGGTAAAGTCACGTAGGTAGAAAAAAAATCGCTACTTTATTATGAAATTGTATTATTTGTTTTCTATATCTACGTTGACTTTACCGAAAGAACCGACGAATATAACACAGGATCCTCAGTTGACGTCCACGTCCAAGTGAGGATCACCAACCCCCACTGACCATCGCGGCGAGGTATGGTTGGATAGTCGACGCATAATCGACGCTGTCCGTCGACATTTTCAACCGCAGCTATAAAGGATATGAACGCATGACGTGTGTCCATTACAGGTGTGCTGCGTCTGTCCGTGTAGGTATGAATTCACACTGTGTACTATCGCTTGTGTGTGTATATGTGTGTGTGTGAAGAATCTCTAACTCGGGGGAGCTGTGATTACATCGGAGGGAGCCGAGATTATTTCGGAGCACTGCCGAGTGATCCACGCGGAACCTGCAGGCTTAAATCCTGGCCTCGCACACAAAGACAAAGATCCCCCGTATAGCCTGTTAACAGGCTGTTGGGGCAAGTGCTGTGAGCGAGTAGCACCTAATGACGGCCGGCACGGCACACCAGTGGGTGGGTGGCCAGCGCCACGCCCGACCGCCTTTGTCTCCCCAGTGGCGATGTTTACACACCGCACCAGGTGCTCATTTGAGGCCGAGTCGACCTAGCGGAGGCGCATGACCGGTTCAGATGATCGTCGCCGGTGTTGGCCACGGGCGAGAATCGAACTCTGCTCGCCGGGTTCGTAGCGAAGCTACCGTTGCGGGGAACGGTAGCTTAGCGCGCACACAAACACACTCACACTCACGCGCACACACGCACACGCACACACCGGCGGCAAACACCATTAACGCTCGTCCTGAGTGGCTCCGCCAACACCCCCCCCCCCCCCCCAGGTTGACTCATGACTTGACTGAGCCTTCGGCGGCGCGGCTGTGTCAATGTCAGCACTGAGCGATGCCGGAACGCGCACGTGCGCACCGACCCCTCGATAGGCGCCCGCTAACGGAAACTCGCCCCCGCCCCCCAGCTCCCCCCCCCAACGTTTGTCCCGCACAAAGAGAGATTCGCTGCGACGGTGGAGGCAGAAATGATGCAGCGGGGCGCGGGTGTGTGGGTGCGTGTGTGTGTGCGAGTGTATGGGTGCGTGTGGATGCGCCTGTGTGGGTGCGTGTGGGTGCGCGTGTGTGCGGGTGTGTGTGTCCGTGTGGGTCCGCGTGTGTGCGGGTGTGTGGGTGCATGTGGGTGCTCGTGTGTGGGTGCGTGTGTGGGTGCGTGTGTGGGTGCGCGTGTGTGCGGGTGTGTGTCGGTGCGTGGGTGCGCGTGTGTGGATGCGCGTGTGTGGGTGCGTGTGGGTGCGGGTGTGTGGGCGCGTGTGTGGGTGCGTGTGTGGGTGCGCGTGGGTGCGCGTGTGTGGATGCGCGTGTGTGGGTGCGTGTGGGTGGGGGTGTGTGGGCGCGTGTGGATGCGCGTGTGTGGATGCGCGTGTGTGTGTGCGTGTGGGTGCTCGTGTGTGGGTGCGTGTGTGGGTGCGTGTGTGGGTGCGTGTGGGTGCGCGTGTGTGCGGGTGTGTGTCGGTGCGTGGGTGCGCGTGTGTGGATGCGCGTGTGTGGGTGCGTGTGGGTGCGGGTGTGTGGGCGCGTGTGGATGCGCGTGTGTGGGTGCGTGTGGGTGCGTGTGGATGCGCGTGTGTGGGTGCGTGTGGATGCGAATGTGTGGGTGCGTGTGGGTGCGTGTGGATGCGCGTGTGTGGGTGCGTGTGGATGCGAATGTGTGGGTGCATGTGGGTGCGTGTGGGTGCGCGTGGGTGGGTGCGTGTGCGCGGGTGTGTGGGTGCGCGTGTGTTCGGGGTCGTGGTTGGAGCGCGCCGGCACACGACTGCGCGGTCAAACAGCTCTTTGCCGTGCTGCGCTGCTAACAACACCGCTAATAACACCGCTAAAAACACTGCTAACAACACCGCTAACAACACCGTTTGACGGCATTTGCCCGAGCGACGTGGGTGTGACGCGTCTGTCCTAGAAGCTCTTTATACATTATTATTATTTTTCAAAAAGGGGGCAACTTCTTCTTTAGAGGGAGCACGAGAGGCTTGGCTTGACATTTACGAACAAGGCACCTGCCTGGCCTCAAGTATAATACGCTCCACCAGCACGACGACTGTGTATTTGTTAAATATAGTGCAATGCCCCCCATGAATGCATATAACATGTTGAGTGTGTGTGCACGCGTGAGTGTATTTTCTGCAGGGTAGTTGTAGTGGTTAGCGCGCTGCGCTATTAACCCAGCAACCCGGGTTCGATTCCCGCTCGCGGCCAATATCGGCGGCGAGTATCTGTAATCGGTCCTGGGCCTCCCCTAGGTCGACTCAGCCTAAAATTAGCACCCGGCGGGGGTGCTGGCCACGCCACCCCCTCGTGTTCCGCGTCGGGTACTTGCCCCAACAAGCTGTACAAGGCGATATCTATATTGTGTGTGTGTGTAAGTCAATCAACCAAAAACACCAGGGTCTGTCCCGTGACCTCCTGCCAGCAGCAGAAGAGCCTTCGACACTCGGTGTGCACCTGGCCTGGCACAGGCGCCATGGTGACTGCCACCGCCACTCGGTGGTGAGCGGCGGTTGTTGCTGTCGCCGTGGTAGTGTTACGCGTGTGTGCATGCCAGGGCGTGTGTGTGTGCTGGCAAAGAGATGGACTGATGCGGTACGGCAGGATGCGTGAAGCTGATTGGACTTGCCGATGACTTGGACCAGCGGTGTCAAGATCGGCCTCTGTGGAGGAGGTTCGTGAAGGATGCCGCTGGGCAGCTGGAGGCAGTCGCACTCCAGCAACAACGGAGGTCGGAGGAGCGACGCTCACAACAACGAGCGCAGCGCCGGGCGGATAAAACACAACGAGTTGACACAGTGGGGGAGCACAGTTGGTGCATCGGCCAGTCATCTCAAGTCAGTCAACCCATGGCACCTGAGTCTCTCCCGTGACTTCCTGCCAGCAGCGAGCCTTCGACAGTTCACTTGGCCTCGGAGGGCACAGGCGCCTTGGTGACGTCACCGCCACTTCGTGGCGAACTGCTGCTGCTGTTGTCGTTGGTGTGCGTGTACGCGTGCGCTCGGTTGCCCTATGCCAGGGGTCGGCAACCAAAATAACAAGAAGAGCCATTTCTTTCCAATTCGGTACAAAATTCAGTATTTCAAGAGCCGCAATGCATCTGAGTACATACTGTACATACGTACATATCGTCAAGAAGCAGCCCGTAAAGAGCCGCATACGGCTCCGGAGCCATAGGTTGCCGACCCCTGCCCTATGCGGGAGGCAGGCTGCAGGACGGCGGCGGCGGTGGTGGTGGCAGCAGGCCGTAGCGCGTCTTGGTGTTGGTGACGGCACCGTGCTTCTGCCGCATGTGCAGCCGCAGCTGGCTCTTGTGGCGAAAGTGCACGTTGCACGTCTCGCACTGCGCTCGCCACGGAGAGATGCGTCGCCAGGAGCCGGGTTACAATCAGTCCGTACGCAGCCATCCATCCACATTCATTTTAACCCTTTCCCATTCCGGTGACGTACGTACAAAGCAGGTCATCGGTTTTTCTTGCGATTTCATTCCGATGACGTACTTGTGCTAAAATAAAATGACTTTATCTGTAGGTCTGCAGGTCGGAAGATGTGCAGAGGCTCCCGGTACAGTTTGGTGCCAGCTATCATAGAGTGTGGTCATGTTGCTACAGTTTTCTGTGGTGAGTACAATGTCTTAAAAAAAACGGCGCTATTCTTCTCTAGATAAAATTAACGCTAACTGCTTGGACGTTCCGAGATTCAGTGTTGAACGGGACATCCACACTGCAGCTTGCAGTCTCCCTCCTTAACTTCCTTCCATTCCCCGCTCAAAGCCTCACCATTGCCCATTATCTAGCTCTTCCCTCCCCTCACCCCTCCACTCCTTACCTCCCCTTCCCTAAACCGCTATGCACCCCTCATCCCTCGCACTACACCATTATTATGTTAAGCACCTTGTTCAAGTTCACCCTTTAATTGAAAGATAATATTAATTAATTCGCAGCCAAGAGGCATCAAGACGGCAGGAAGGAGTACAATTACGCTGGCCAGCAGAGCGGATCTTTCGAGGTGGGAGGGACTTAATTTCTCACTGGATGGTGCCAGGCTGGCCGGGGCGGTGGTGGTGGCTACGCTGCTGCACACGGCTGCCTCGAGTCCAGCACCGTGGAGGCAGCAGCTGACTCCCCTTCCCGTGGGGATCAAGGAGGTGCCGTACCCCTGGCTCCCCAGGAGAAACCGGTACTGCAGAGTGTGGACTAATCTCAATTTTCTTGGTTCTTTCGGTAAAGTCACGTAGAATGGAAATAATAAAATAATAAAAATAAAACAATAAAATAATTCTCACGACGTTTCGGCCACAACGCAAGCAGCCATCCTCAGGTGGAGAACAGGTCTGTTGAGAAGACAGAGTCTGAGGACGGCTGCTTGCGTTGTGGCCGAAACGTCGTGAGAATTATTTTATTATGTTTTATTTTTATTATTTCCATTCTACGTGACTTTACCGAAAGAACCAAGAAGATGAATCCCTGCAGTCACGAAAGCTTTAAATGGAAATTTAATCTCAATCTGTCCCATCTGTGTGGGATAGAGCGTTGCCTCCTCGCACGCATGGGCTTTTCTCGGGGTGCTCCGGTTTCCTCCAGCGTCTAGTAGCAGCATTGATTTGTCTGTAAACAACATTGTACGTGTATATATCTACGGCGAATTGGGACCGACGGATTAAATGCACCTTCAACATCTCAATCATTATTGTTATTCGGAGCTTGGATTAAAGAGGCGATCGGAGTGGGAATTCCAAAGTGGAGCAGTGTGGTGGAGGGGGGGGGGAATTGAAGAAGCTGAAAGCAAAGTGTTGTGATTGTCGGTGAGTGTGCTGGGCATACGCAGTGTGCAGGGTGAGATGAGACAGTGACTCAGGTAGCCCGACTCCTCAACATGGGTGCAGGACACTTTTTTTCTCCATCTCGAGTTAAAATTCATCTCTTTAGAACGGATTTTCGTTGTCCTTCCCTCCCGCACCTCTGATCTACCATGGGTTGGCTACGCACGGTGCAGAGGAAGTTCCAACGTACGTATTTACGCACATATGTACAATCAAACTAGACAAGGAGGGGACTGACCGCCCAGTGTGTGAGTTGAGCGCTGCCTCATTAATCACCCCCGCTGCCGCTTTACTTAAGAGTTTCACGGTGCTTATCTATTCCCAGTGCAGATGTTGCGACATATTCACCCACGCTCTCCGGGAGTTCTCAGTCTCAGCTCTTGCTTGTCAACCCATGTTCCAGTCCGTAATGAAGACTCAGCAAATCCTCTGTATAGCCTTGCGTGGCCAGCACCACGCCCAGCCGCCTTTGTCTCCCCCGATGCTGATGATGTTTTACGTGCCGCACCAGCTACTCATTTTTAGGAGCTGAGTCGACATCGGGGAGGCTCAGAACCGGTTCAGGTATTCGTCACCGATATTGGCCATGAACGAGAATCGGTCTCGGGGGTCTCTGGGTGCGTAGTGCCGGGCGCTAACCAACTACACCACTCCCCACATGAGCAACACTCAGAGACACTCACACCCACCTACCTATCCATCATGTGCCACGTGTTGCATATTTATAGGAAATATTTGCCTCCGTTACTTGTCTGACCACGGCTAAATACACCCGCGTTTGTACATTCCTCTGGGTGTAGATCGTTCACTCTGTGCCCACAGCAGCACCACTTGATGGGCAGCCCGACGTTTGTCTGGACACTTACAGGGAAAACGCCCTTGCCCTGTGTTCTTGCGCCGTCGAACGGCGCCTCAAAGATGTCTCTTGTTGTGATGATCGCGTCACTACTCCATGACCTCTCGTGCAGTCTAGCGAATTGTGCAGGCTGAGGCGCCGGATGTAAAACCCGAGCTCGTCGAGTTAAGTCTCCACGTCACGCCTTTGTCCTAATAGGCCGTCGTCTCATCGCATGAAAAGTCGCCCGTGAAGGTGATGGGACGGAGACAAACGTATACCGCTCGCGCGAGAGGGCTTCTCCCTGGAGTGCGGTAAGTGCGGTGAGTGCAGATTGTGATGGTGAGTGTGGTAGTGAGCGTGCTGGAACTCACGTGATAGGGCTTCTCCCCCGTGTGGATGCGGATGTGTGCTGAGCGTGGGGGTGGGCGTAGTGGTGAGCATGGTAGTGAGCGTGCTGGAACTCACGTGGTAGGGCTTCTCCCCCGTGTGGATACAGATGTGTGCTGAGCGTGGGGGTGGGCGTAGTGGTGAGCGTGGTAGTGAGCGTGCTGGAACTCACGTGATAGGGCTTCTCCCCCGTGTGGATGCGGATGTGACTCTTGAGCGTTTGCAGGTGGCGGAAGCGCGTTCCGCACGTCGCGCACGGGTACGGCTTCTCCCCCGTGTGGATCAGCACGTGGGCCCGCAGGTGAGCCACCTGCAACACCACAACAACAACAACCTCGCAGGTGAGCCACCTGCACCACCACCACAACAACAACAACCACGCAGGTGACCCACCTGCACCACCACAACAACAACAACAACCACGAAGGTGAGCCACTTGCACCACCACCACCACAACGACAACAACCACGCAGGTGAGCCACCTGCACCATCACAATAACCCACACAGGTGAGCCACTTGGGGGGGAGGTGGGAGAGGGGTGGGCCATGCACCTGGACAAACCGTGCTCCGCACGAGTCGCAGCGGTAGGGTTTCTCGCCCGAGTGGATGCGCGCGTGCGTCTTGAGGTTGGCCGGGCGGTTGAATCGAGCGCCGCACACGTCGCAGGGGTACGGCTTCTCGCCTGCGCGCGCGGAAGGAGACACGCGGTCAAAAACATTAAAGCCATTTAAAATTGTCAAATACCGTTAAAATCGTTAAAACGGTAAAGACCGTTAAAACCGTTAAAACCGTTAAAACCGTTAATACCATTTAAACCGTTAATACCGTTAAAACCGTTAAAACCGTTAATACCGTTAAAACCGTTAAAACCGTTAAAACCGTTAAAACCGTTAAAACCGTTAAAACCGTTAAAACCGTTAAAACCGTTAAAACCGTTAAAACAATATCTGGCACTAGCGCTCTTCGCCAAAACGGGGCCGTCGCCGCGTTTGTGCGAACATGACCGCGAGAGCCAATTTTGGAATTCGACAAATTTTCGGGCACATAATGGCGGCACGCGTGGTCAGTATGAATTTCTTTCTTCAAATAACGTCACGAGATCCAGAACGTTCACCTTTAAATGGACGCCGTCGATCTCTCGGTCAAAACAAACCCGCAATATTATCCAGGTGCGGCCCCTGGGCTCGAACCGCAAACCTCCGTAGCACGCGGAAATGTGCCGCTGCCACTGGGTCATACCGCTACCAGCATGGGGGGGCAGCTATCGAGGGAGTGCTTGCGGCATTGCAACCCCGCAGGGTGGCAGCACTACAGGCGGTTGCCCACACAAGGGTGAGGGGGCAGGGGGCCTAGGCGGTTCCCTACGTACCCGTGTGCACGGCACGGTGACTCGTCAGGTTCCCCTTGTGGCGGAACTCGGCGTCGCACGTGTCGCACCGGTACACCCTCTGCTCACCGCGGGGGCCCGTGCCGGCCTCCGACATCTCCTCGCACGATCTCCTCTCCTGCGCTGTCACCGCCGCCGCCGCCGTCGACACGTACTCCTCCCGGCGCAGGAGGCACGGGTAGGGGCTGCAGCTCCCGTTTGCACCGCCTGAAGGTGCCGCACCCCCCTCCTCCACCACCTCCTCTCCGTCCCTCTGCCGCCCCGTGCCGCCCCGCGCCTCTCCGCCGTTCCCCGCCAAGGGGCCTTCCCCGTCTCGACCGCCGGCGTCCTCGCTTCCGTCGCGGTCTTCACGTGAGATGAGCGCCATGCAGCTCCTCAGCTTGTGCTTCTTCCAGTAGCTGCAGGGGGCTCGCTCCTGCTGCCCGGCCACGGCGGCCGCTTGGCCGGCCCCGTCGCTCGGCTCGCGAGCGGCGCCACCATCGCCGTCCCGCCGGGCCGGGCCCTCTGGGGCTTCGGCGGCGCCGGGCACGCCGGGTTGACGGCGGGGCGACATAGTGTCCTCCCGCTGGCGCCGCTGCTCCCCACCCACGCTCATGTCGATGACGCGCTGCAAGTCGTGCTCACCGCGGTCCCCTTCCTCTGCCTCTCCCACAGGCCCGGCCGGTGAGCGGGCGCCGTTGGCGTCGGCGCCCTCCGATTTGACCGCCGTGTGCGAGTCCCACTGCTGCTGCTGGTGGTGCTGGGAGCAGGCCCCGCGGGCCGCCAGGGGCCACCACAGCGGCTCGGCACCCCGAGGCCCCGCGTAGCAGAAGGGCGACAGCTTGTAGCCGGCGACGGCGGCGCGGTGGAAGAACGGGGAGAAGGCGTTGAACTGGTAGGGGTCGCCCAGGTGAGAGTAGACGGAGAAGGGGGATGGAGTGGATGATGGCGGGGATGACGATGACGATGATAATGATGATGAGGAGGAGGGTGAGGAGGAGGAGGTGGTGTTGTGAAGGGAGTAGATGAATTGCTGCAGGTGGTGCGCGTAGAGATTCGCCCCCTGGTCCTCCTTGCTGGGCTTCAGGTCAGGAGGATCCAACAAGCTGCAGGACGAGAGGAGATCTTATTGTCATCGTCGCCATCGTCGTCATCATCGATGTAATTATCATTGCTGCCTTGGTCGTGATCGCAGTCACAGTGGCGGTCATTGCCGTCGATTAGTACAAACATTTTGCTCGTCGTCGTCATCGCCACCGCCGCGCTTTCGGGGTTCCGTCAGCTCGGCAGGGCGATAACGCGAGGCCGCGGCAAATTTTACGTACCTCTCTTTGAGGAGGCGCGCGCACGCCTGCGCCACGCCGTGGACACGGAGGTGGCGCGCAGCCGCCACGAGGTCGCGCGACACGGCGGCGGTGGCCACGGCGCGCCGGGGCAGCTCGCCCGCGTACATGAAGTCGAGCAGCGCGGCGAGCGCTTCGCACGTGACGCCCGGCAGCGACACGAGCTGGGGGTCCCCGCAGCGGCCCTCCACGAACGCCGAGTAGAAGTAGCCGCTGCACGAGCAATGATAGCGGTTGGTGATGGAGGAGAGAGACACGGAGGGAGAATAAAGTTCGGTTGACGATCAGCGATGTTATGGCGCACGATTTCATTGCGGCACTGTGGATGGAGTTGGTGGCTCACACAGAGGTCGTCATCACTGTGTATCAGAATCGGATTATTTATTTATCCTGGAGGAATCCGATGAGCTATAAGGCTCTTTTTCATCGATGTCCGGTATGGAGCACCCAACCCTCAAACCAGGGTTTATGGTAACAAGCATAACAACTTACACGTGTCAATAACGGCACACTAAAAGGAATAAAATATATAGAATAGGCGGTGTGACGGACAATGATGGCTCTTCTTTCAGATGTGAGAAAACGGCTACGAGGCCACGTGCTGGGCATCAGGAGGCGGTGCAGCAAACTTGTCTTTTGAATTGCGATACATTTACCTTGAGTCGAATAAATATGTTAATTTTTACATAGGTCAAGAAATAAATACAGCAGCACGCGTGTTGGTGTGGGGGGGGGGGGTCAGGAGGGAGGTCAGGGGGGGGGGGTCGGGGGGGGTCAGGTGGGGTGGGGGGTCAGGTGGGGTGGGGGGGAACTGGTGGGGTTGGGGGTTGGTGGGGTGGGTGGGGGAGCTGGTGGAGTGGGGAGGGGGTACTGGTGGGGTGTGGGGTTAAGGGTTGGTGGGGTGGTGAGGTGGGGGGGCTGGTGGGGTGAGGTGGGGGGGCTGGTGGTGTGGGGTGGAAGGTTGGTGGGGTGGGGGAACTAGTAGGGTGGGGGGGGCTAGTGGAGTTAGGGGGGAACTGGTGGAGTTGAGGGTTGGTGGGGTGGGGTGGCTGGTGGGGTGGGGTGGCTGGTGGGGGGGGGGGCTGGTGGGGTGGGGGGGGGGAGCTGGGGGGGGGCGCTTGCCTGCAGGACGCGAGCACGGCGCGGTGCGCGGGGAACTGGCGGCCCCCCGCCAGCAGCACGACGTCGGTGGTGAGGCCGCGGCGCCGCAGGGCATCGAGGCCTTGCAGCAGGGCGCTCGCGTAGCCCGGACCACCCCAGCTCCTGTGGAGAACACGAGGGGGGGGGGGGGGTGGGGAAATCTCGAGGTGAGACGGGAAACATTGCCTGGCATTGCCTGACATTGCCCAAGCGTTCTGGGATGCAGCTCCAAAAAAAGTTCAATATTACGTACAGTCACGTGCTCAAATGAGATGGTAGACTAAATGAAAATTTTTACTTTTTTTATTTTACCAGGTAAGGCCCACTGAGCTATTTCGCTCTGTTTTTAGAAGCGACCTGGCTGACACAAATAATGGCTCAACAAAGTGGCTTTTCCTCTAAAAACCGCATGTTGATTCTAAATGTGGGGGAAATTTCACGTAACCACGGGGAGAAACACGCAAATTCTAAATAAACAGGCGTCAGGGTCGGGATCAAACCCACGATCTCCTGCATACCAGGCGAGGAAGTTAACATCTCGCCACCGCGGCACCCCCTACAGAGTCGGTTCATAAGTTCAGCCGCATCTTTGACGTGGCCTCGCCCTCTGAGCCTTGACGGCAGGTGGCTGATACTGCTGACACTGCGGCTAATGGGGAGCTCAGCGCAATGCAATGCAAGGTCACAGCGGGTGGCTTGTAGGTGGGTGAGGCCAGACGTTGGGCGTGTGGGTGGCTGTGGTGGCCAGCCTCGTGGTGAGTAATCCCTGTCCTGTGCTCTCAGACAAAGCCCAACTGTTGTTTTCGAGTGGGAGGGGAGGGTGGGTGGGTGACGATGGGAGTGGCGCCGGATGCGGCCAGACCGGGAAAGCGCCTGCACATAATTCTAACTCCCCCCCCCCACCGATTCATTCCGTGAGAATCAGTTTCAGAAAATGTTTTAGCTTTGTCCGCCAAACAAAACTGGCGTTGTTACAGTGGGAGCCACCGCCGGCCTGAATGTCATAACTTGACATTAAAACTTGTTTTAGTTTTTTTTGTTCTCCAGGATAAATCCACAAGGCAGTTTTTAAAATAAATATTTTGAAATTTCGAGAAGCCGAATAATCTAGAAATAAGGAGTTGCCGTTAGTTCACTGTGATGGCTCTACATGAGTTGATGGTCTGACTGCACACAAAACCCAGTGTTAAGTTTGGTTGCTTACTAAATTTGCTTATGCCAACTTTTAGGATTCAAAAAATATATTAGCTGTGGCGAGATGTTAACTACCTTGCCTGGCGTGCAGGAGGTCGTGGGTTCGATCCCAACTCTGACGCCTGTATATTTGGAGTTTGCGTGTCTCTCTCCCCGTGGTGGCGTGGACTGTTCTCCCGGTTCTCCTACGTTTAGAAACACGCTTTTAGAGTATTTGGCTGCTTTTAATCTCCACACGATATGCCACTGCATTGGGCTATCACTTGTGGCCAGGTCGCTCCTGAAAAAGAGCCGTATAGCTCAGTGGGCCCTTTAAATGAATTCTTGTTGATAATAGTTTATCAGGACGTACACAAGAAATATCTCCACTAAGTATTAATGAGCGACTGAAGTGACTTTCATAAGTAGTTCAGAAGCACTTGTGACGGCAACTTCTTCCGGCGGCTGTTCTAAAATACAGGATGATGCACCGCTCGCTGTGATGTGATTGAAATATAGCAAAGCGGGGGGAAAACACATTCCTGCGGAGGGAGCTGGTAGGAACGTCGGGTTTCTTGGTCAATGGCCAAGGTCAACGGCGGCGTGGTGTATTCCGCAAATATGCCCGACTGTGAGGGCGGACACAAGCCGGCGTGAGTAGGTTAAACGTTGAGTTTTATAAGGGCACTACGGGGTGACCAGCCTCTCCCTACTCAGCCCCACCCCTCCCAGCCCAAAGCTGGGACGTTCAGTCGATTCGTCGACTAAAATGTACAATTGGCTGCTTGTTTTGTGGTCAACAACGAGGGCTGATTTAGAAACGGCCGCCGCTTTCCACATCCCGCCAGAATCAGAATCAGTTTTTATAGTGGAGGAGGAATCCGATGATCTATGAAGCTCTTTTCCACAGACGTCCAGTAGGAACAAATCAGAACGTTGAAACAACAAACAAAACAACAACAAACAAAACAACAACAAACACGATCGAATTGCAGGGTCATGGAGAGGTAAACAAATCACTTTAAAAAAAATAAATTAACTATTTTTATCTTACCAGGTAAAGCCCATTGAGCTATTAGCTTATTGTTGAGCAGTGCCCTGGCCACAAATGATAGCTCAACGAAGTGGCTTATCACGTGGACATTTATAGCGGCAAAATAATCGAAATAATCCCGAAGGTGGGAAACCCCCCACAGGCCACGCCCGGCGTGACGCGGCTGACAATGCCGATGACGTCTCCAGGCCTCGCCCATCACCTCCAGTCCAGCGGCACGCGTGTCAACATCGGTCAGACATTCCCTGCCCCCCAACTATTTTCGTGTTATCCAATGAGTCGAGATATTCGAACCGACTAATCGTAAGAGTTATCGACTACTTAACTAATCGGATTAAAATTAACACTGCACTAGCACAGGGACACACACGGCTAGGCGCTACATCCTCCCCTGAGTTTAATCGGGTGGCAAATCGGTACCGAAATTTATTCTCTAACATCCACATCGTTGCTTAAAACCTTCCCCCAAAGCGCCACACCCCAGGGCTCTTCGCTGTTGTCTCAACGGCCCCGCGGGACCGATCCGAGGTCGCCGCGAGGTGCAGCCGCCGATCGCCTTCCGCCTCGTGTTCTTCCTCTTCCCCAGCTCTCACACCTCGGGGCCGAGGGTCACCCGAGGATAAATCCCCTTTCCGCCCAACCCCGGAGTTCGCTGCAGAGTTTGTCCTGCCGACGAGCGGCCCACGCGCGCCATACGTAACGTGTCCTGCCCTCATCCCCATCTCCCTCGCGCCTTCCTTGCTGCGTGACCCCCCCACCTCCCCTTGGCTCGCGGATTGCCCTCCCTGTCCGTCGGAGCGCTGACGAGTTCGCGTGGCGGAGGAGACGTCTGCATTTGAACCGACTGCCGCCGATGTAATGCACTGCCGCAAGGCCTTCGCGGTTGACGGCAAAGTGACGGTGTCAAGAAACATACTTGTGTATGACTCTTTGGTTCGTTCGGTAAAGTCACGTAGGTAGAACAATAAAATACAATTTAAAAAAATAATGGTGATATATTATTTTAATGTAATTTTTCTACCTACGTGACTTTACCGAACGAACCAAAGAGTATGGATTCCTGCAGTCACGAAAGCTTCAAATCAATACTTGTGTATCTTTTACGCGAATTGACAGGTTATATATATCGAAGAAGGTGGTATATATTGCTTGTTTATCTCGTTGTGAAAGCGATCGTTTTGGCGGTGTCCAGCAGCTGGCAATGTGCGTGACTGGCCACATCGTGGCCATTCAGGGGGTGGTGGTGGGGGGTTCTTACCACCGAGAAAAGAAAACGCGACCCCCGGCGATGAGTCCCGTGTGACGGTCACCGGCTCGCCCGCACTTACAACCCGGAGGTCGCTGGGTCGATTCCACCTCTTGGCCACCTCGCCCCCCCCTCCCCCCAACAACTCTCTGCAACACCTAGCCAGCCCCAAGTGCCCCCCACCCCCGCCGTCATCCAAACGCTAGCCCGGACTCGACTCCGCTCGGCTTGCCAGCTCCGACGGCAGTGGGCACATTTCCGAATGATTTGGTCACGGGGGAGAGGAGTTCATCATCGACTCCAGCGCCGCTCGAGGAATGGCTGCGCGAGGCGTGCTGCCTGCCGATATTCGGCGCGCGCAGAGTGTTTGGCGTGACAACAGAGTCACGATGCAACGTTTATTGCGTGTTCAGCGACAGAAAGTCATTCTTGAAGTGCGACTAATATTGAGTCACCTTTTGGACGTGACCGCTCGTCTGTCCCTCCTCCCAGCCAGCCAGCCAGCCAGCCAAACTTGGTTTTTTTCTCCTCTCGAATTTAGAATATGATGATGATCGTATAATATTGTTGCCAGTGCATTTGCGAGGGATACACGGCCAGGGTAGAGGATGGGTGGGGTGGGTGGGGGGTGAAGGGTGGGTGCCGTTAGGAGCCGAAGTGTGAGCACCGCTCCACCACAACACGTCACCGCATGCGCTCAGTTTTATTTTTTGTTTTGGGGCTTTTTTGTTTTTTTGTTTGCTTGAGAACGCGTGTTTCAGAACGTTATGAAGAAGTATCCAGCAGCGGTCATTACGATACCCTAGTATCCACACACACACAGATCCACATTTTAGTAGTCTCGTAATCCGCAATGGACGAGTGCAGATTAGCAAGTATTTAATTGCCAGAGTGAAAAGGCCACTGGCCAGCACCATGCTGCCCGCCCACTTTTGTCTCCCCAGTGCCAATGTCCATAGATTTTCTCCAGAGACGACCTAGGAGCGACCAAAGCCAATTTCAGAAGCCAAACTGCCACGGGACTTGAATCCGCTAACCCACCATGCCGGGTCTGCCGACGCGAACACGGGGCAAGCAACACAGAGGCCACCATGTGCCACTTAGTGGCGGTGACATCGCTGCGGTGTTTGTGCCAGGCTAGGTACACCTTTAGCTGTTCGCTTGCAGCCTCGGTACAAAGACAGGCTGCGCATCAGTCCCAATCCTCTGCCTCTCGTCATGGTGGCGAGATGTTAACTACTGTGTCTCGCCTGGTATGCAGGGGGTCATGGGTTCGATCCCGACCCTGACGTCTGATGTATGTGTGGAGTTTGCTGTGTCTCTCTCCCCGTGGTCATGTTAATTTTCCTCCGGATCCTCCGTTTTTTCCCTTCCACGTTGAGAATCAACATCACGCGTTTAGAGTGTTTGGCTGCTAAAAAATGTCACGTGATGATAGGCCACTTCGTCGAGCTATAATCTGTGATAGCCAGGTCGCCTCTGAATAAGAACTCTAGAGATCAGTGAGCCCTTTACCTGGTCAAATTAAAGTTTGTTTTGTTAATTAGGAATAGCAGCAAAGGCCACAACGCGTATGATTCTTTCCTAGCACCTGCTCGACGCTGGATCTCCCTCCATTCGCCGTATCTCCCCCATCCCTCCCTAAGTTCTTACCAATAACCCTAACTCAATACAAAATTAAATTAACTCTCCATCTATTGCCAGTTGTTGCTGGCCGTTTGGCGTTTTTGAGAATTTGGTCATTCAACAACAACAACAACGAAATGCAACGCCTGCCTTTTGCCTCTATACGAATGGATTTTACACGCGAATGTTTTTTTTTTTGGGGTGGGATTTTCAAGGATGCGAGCTCACACTTGGCCACGATGAGCGAAAGGGAAAGTCCCTTCCTCGTTTTACGTGTCTCTCAGCCCTTGAATAAAAACGCGTGGGCAGGGGAAGGGGGGGCGATTTGCTCGTAAGCGATCAAATTATTTACGTAGCGCTCTACCGAAGCAGCGAGCAAAAAAAAAATCCGGAAAATTTCCATTCCCACCCACCGCGGGCAGTTCGTGATGCGACCATCGTCGATTTCCACCGGCGATTATCGTCGATTTCAGGGGTACAAACAAAGCAGCCGCTTGGCACGGCGAGACGCGAGTTAACGCAGCCCTCTGCCACGGGAGTCGATCCAGAATCGTGTAAAAGGGGGAAGCGCTGGAGTGAAACTGGCGGCACACGCCATGAGGTCACCAACCATGACGCTTCGATGCTCATTTAATGACAGTCGGATACTTCCACTTTTCTTCGGGGAACTTTGAAGAAGTCCCCTCTTGATTTATCCCTAAAAATGCATCAGTGTTGCGCAACGGATGCGGTGAATCAGATCTTCCGATCGCGGGGGGGGGGGGGTATTTACACTTCTTCCTGGACATCTGACCGATGTGGGAGGCTAGTCCAAAATATTTTCTCTCCAGAGCTCCCTTTACTGGGAACCCTTCTGCCAGCAGCGGCGTTAGTGGGCATTTGCAGGGCAGCGCCTTTACCGTTTGACGTTTTCAATTCCTAAAAACGCCATCGTTTGGTTACAGAAATAGTTATAAAAAGTGGGCTTGGGGTATTTACACTCTCTCGCTCTTTCCTGTGTGTATCTGCATGCGGCAAGTTATTGATTTCAAAGAAAGTACATTATAAATAGCGTACTTTAGAATCAAAAAGGCAAGACCGTTGCCTGTTCCACTGAGCTTTGACAGTTGTGCTCACATCCTGTTGACAATCCCGAGCCGGTCTCTGTGACCACATCCCCCAGAATGCCACCGATGTCATCCCACATCGAATTTGCGTAAGGGTGTGAAGTGCTCTTTCACGACATTTATTTGTTCGTGTATTGTTCTCGGGGTAACCGCTGATGTTGACAAAACCTGTGAAGGAACTACTGAACTTGGGGCTTTGTTTCGAGGCAAATTGCCCCCGCAAAAAAACTTTCTCCACCGAGGGCGTGTTTTTGTTTGACAGCGGCTGCCGTTGCGAGATGCAATTTTTTTTACTTAAAGGCGTCTTCTTCTTGGTTCTTTCGGTAAAGTCACGTAGAAGGGAAGTAATAAAATAATAAAAATAAAACATAATAAAATAATTCTCACGACGTTACGGCCACAACGCAAGCAGCCGTCCTCAGGTGAAAACCAGGTCTGTCGAGGCGACAGCGTCTTAGAGTCGCGGCATGAATCCCTGCAGTCACGAAAGCTTTAAATCGAAATTTAAGGCGTCTGTTAAAGTCGGCGATACAACCCCAACTTAACTTTCATTTCCAGCGCCTCCCTTCCTGTGACGGCATGCTTTGTTTGCCAGCGTGAAATGTCAAATCACGCGCGAGATTTGAACGCTTAACGGGTTGCATTCAAGCTTGCAAAAAGGTGTCTACAGTATTTGGTGTTTGAACATCTTCACCCCTGTATTATTGCCCGAAAGGGTCAAACGAAGCCTATTCTTACTTGCATTCAAACTTGCCTACAGACGTGCTCAGATAATGTGCATTTCTGTATGATGAGTGAACGACGACGATGATTACCTCGAGCAGAGCTCATCTATATATTTAAATCAGCTCAAACCTCTCGCAAACCACGTGACTTCTGAATGGTGGTGACAATGACGATTGATGGTGGTAATATGATGATGATGATGATTGATGGTGGTAATTTAATAATGATGATGATGATTGATTGTGATAACATGATAATGATTATGATTTGTGGTGGTAATATAATGATGATGATGATTGATGGTGATAACATGATGATGATTGGTGGTGATAATTGTGATGATGATTATGATGATGACTGATGGTCATAATGGTGGTGCTGATGACGATGATGACGACGATCTACATGAATATCAATTTCCTTAATTTTTATGGAGAAAAGCCTCACTTCCCGATCCTAAGAATTTTTCAGGAAACTCTCGCATTTGGGATGTTGGGCCAATTCTTGAGCGAGCATCTTTCATACGGGAAGAAGCCTCAGCGTCCTGGAAACCCCCTTTACGGAAGGCGAACTGAAAGTCCGACCAAAAAAGATTCGTAGTTCCGATACCCCCGTATCGAAACTACAACAAAAAAAAATCTCTCCTCTGCTAACCTTTACGCAAGAATGCCGCTTGCTCGTTATCGGTTAGGCAAGTGCTCACAGACTCCCCGTTGGTGTCAAGGCTGCCCCCCCCCAACCCTCTTCTGCACCTCCGGTTAGCACGGCTGGCTACGTACGGTGCGAAAGAAGTTCAACATACATACATACAGATCCTCTCCATATACTGTACCCCATAATCAAGGTCTTTTGAGTTAGATCGCGTAACTATGTGTCGCTAACCCACCACCACCCGACAGCCAATTGGTAAGGTTTGTCACGTAAATAAATCATTGTGGGGTTACTCTCCAACTCACCGATGTGCTGAAGTAGTCACTAATTGGCACGTTTTATTCACGTGACAAACCTTACTAATTGTCTGTGTCGGGTGGTGGTGGGTTAACGACACATTTATATTTCCGCAATATAACCCTACCAAAAAAGTTATTATGGATAATATTGGTCACGACAGCCTACTACGTGGTAATCTGATATACTGGACCGTATGGGGCTCCCAGAGGCATGGAACAGCAGTGAACATTATGACCATAGTGTACTGATGAGCACTAATGGGGACGAAACCGCTCCGTAGGCTGTGTCTCCTGTTGCTGGAACGGCCACGAATTCTCACCTCTCTTGAGACGGCGGTTCTCGACGGCAAAAAAATATAAAACGGCCGCACGTTCAGTTCTTTCGAGGTGGTGTTCTGGACAAGGCCATGGAGATTTTTTTTTGCACTCGCAGATGCTGCCCTCCTCTCTGTGCGCTGTTGAATCTAAATGCTGCTCACGTTAAACGTTTCACAACAAGCCTGCGGTTTTTTGCCACGTGGTCACCTGGCTACTGAGAGAAGCCGGGTACGGAGGCGAGCACTCACTTGTCGTCCATCGCTGCACGCCCCTTGCTCGACCCACGTGGTGCGTCCTGTGTGTCGCCTTGAGTGTTGAGCCTTCAACCTGAAATGTTACAACAACAAAAAACAACGGTAAATTAACCACGTTTATATCACACCTTTCGATTTAAAGCTTTCGTGACTGCAGAGATTCATCTTCTTGGTTCTTTCGGTAAAGTCACGTAGAATGGAAATAATAAAATAATAAAAATAAAACATTATAAAATAATTCTCACGACGTTTAGGCCACAATGCATGTATGTCGAGAAGACAGAGTCATTCAGTCATTCAGACTCTGTCTTCTCGACAGACCTGTTCTCCACCTGAGGACGGCTGCTTGCGTTGTGGCCGAAACGTCGTGAGAATGATTTTATTATGTTTTATTTTTATTATTTTATTATTTCCATTCTACGTGACTTTACCGAAAGAACCAAGAAGATCACACCTTTCGTTGCAGAACCGCTCAAAGGCACCCTCCCGACATGAATCGTGTGCAGGATTGAGAAATCTACCACGCGTGCCCTTCTAAGTAAGCCTCGCACTGAGCCCATGCATCGTACGCCATCGTACCACACTCAAAAAAGGAATCGTACAGAATCAATCTCTTTCATACGCATTCCCTTTTTGATAAGCCATTCTCGTTTTGAAAGAATTAAAAAAGCTACCGAAGAAACAACCTCGATTTGAAACCAGACTTCAAACCGGGCAACTAAGGACACGACCGAACACCAGGAGATGGTGTCTCTCCAATAATAGGAGTCTGCTGATCGTAGTGCCTGAGCCTCCAAGGGTGAAGCAAAGATTAAGCCCATCCATGAAATGTGATGATTATTATTGTTGCGCTTGTTTACCTAGGAAAGCCTTGCTGAGTCTCAAGACTCTTTTTTAAGGAGGGTCCTGCCAAGCTCGCACTGTTGCTGTGCATCATCCCAGTCAAGCAATGTGCAGGTAAATCTTTCGGCATTGGGAGGTTTGGCCAACGCCAGTTTACATTGTTGGGGTGGGGGGGAGCCGGAAGAAACCCACGCAGAACATGCGGAGAGAACGGAAAACTCGACACGGAAAAATCGGAATAATGGACCCAGGCCCCTTCTTGTCTCTCAAGCTCAAGTCTAACAGCTGTGCTGCCGTGCCATCCCATGATTATTCATCTCTCAGTCAGGAGTTAGTTCTGCATTCGCGGTGTTTTTGGGGGTTGTTTTTTTTAATTATCCACGGTTAATTCTGTATCGGCGGGGCGGACGCATTTCAACACAGCGCGTGAACGCACTTCCTAAAATAACTAGACTTGCCTCGCGCGTGAATCTTATTTACACCCCAGCATGGTCACATGTGCACTGTTGGTACCGCAGTATGGAAATAATATCAACGTTATCTTCTCTTGTATAGAGTTACAGCGCGCCTTATTCCGTGTCATGGGCATTTCCAATAGCACACTCTTTTTAAATCCTTTATATTAAGTTCACTTGCTTGCTTGCTTGCGCGCTTACGACCGTGCAAATCTTTCGGTCGTTTTTTAACCCACTTCCCGTGATCCAATCGAGCTGACAATTTTGCACACAGACTCGTTGTGCGTGACAATTTATTTTCGTGAAATTTTTTTCCCTAAAATTTTACACTTTTTAGGAAAAAATGTATTTCATATTAAATTTAAAATACCAATGTGATAAAAATGAGACTCTTACTCAAGAAAAACAGATATGAATAATAAAATAAAACCGATGCCACGCATATAAAGGATTTATAGGGAAAAACTTTGTTTTTACGGGTTATTTTTTTTTAATTGACGAATGTGAGTGTTGTCGTTGATTTCGCTTCTGCACCGCTGCCAACGCAGGAGCGACATCGCCGCACAATTAGCTTCGCTCTAATTGTAACGGGGTGTAGACATAAACAAGTCCGATTGCACGGAATATGGACGGTGAACGACTAATGTGAATCATGACGATGTTTTGGAAGGGGCTAGGAATCTGAAAGGGAAGAGAGAGAATTGGATCGCAGGATCTTGAGAGGTGGTGGCGGCTTGGGGAGGTCTTTATTCAACTATGGATTGACCGTGGTGGTTGGTGGTGGTGGTGATGATGGTAATTGAGTTGAGACTTACTGAGATTTTCCTCCTTAAATAACTTTGAAGATTATTATCATGGGGGGGGGGGGGGTGGGGGGGTGAGTACAAGTAGTCCCAACTTGGTGTGGAAGTCCACACTGGTTGTCCTTTGTAAATACCCCTGGCATAGCAATGTGGAATTTCCAGCACGAACTCGGAGAGGTGAGCACCAGTGCAAGGAAACCCCTCTTTCTGACTTTAAATTAGTGTTTTTTTTTGCGTGTGTGTGTGTATTCGCCACGCAAAATCCTATACCACGGTCACGCGCACACCCCCCCCCCCTCCCCCGCGTGCGCGCGTGCCACCTAAACCCGTCGCACAAAACGCGAGGAAGGCACCGCGCGAGTGAGTGCACCAGGCGGAGCGCGACCGCACGCACGGAACGCCGTTGGCCAGTCGCCGCGTACCGCGAGTTGCAAACAAGTTGATGGTCGCGGCGACTCGGGGCGAGATGACTCCCCGAGGGTCGAGGGTTATCAAGGACCCGTAGGAATTTTTATTCTTTGGTTCTTTCGGTAAAGTCACGTAGATAGAATAACAAATAAAGTGAGTAAAACAAATTAAAATATTTTTTTTTATTCACTTGATTTCAATAAAATGTAAAAAAATATATTTCATTACTTTTATTTTTCATCACTTAATTTTTATTATTATTTTCTACCTACGTGACTTTACCGAAATAACCAAAGAATATGAATTCCTGCAGTCACGAAAGTTTTTAGGCCCGTAGGAAGCCAGCGACTTTGGTGAATTTCCTCCCCGCGATGAGTTACAAGCTCCCAAAGTCGCCCCCTTCCCCCTCCGGCCCCCCTCGGCTGCTGCTGTTATTATTTATCTCCCCGCGCGCGTTCTGTCGCGTTATTAATGCAGCAGCTGACAGCTGCGGGAAGGAATGGGACGGGAAAGAGGTTGGTTGGGAGCCGGTGACTGGGTGATTCGGGGTGGGGGGAGGGTGCCGAGGGGATTTTTTTTAGGAAGAGGGGAGGAGAGAGGATGGGGAGGAGGAGGAGAATGGAAACTGGGGGTCGTGGTTGCGGTGATGCTGACGCCGTGGCTATGGAGCCGCTTTGTAGCGAGGTAGGGTGGGGGGGTGGTGGTGGTGTGGGGTGGGGTCTCTGTGAGTGCACCGCGTGTTTTGCATCTCGTGTGATGTTCGAGAAACGTTTTAGCATGGCCGGGAAAAGCGTTCTGAGCACTCACGCCGAGACAATGGGGCCCACGTCCTTCTTTCCTTGGGAGATAGCGATCTTTGTCCCTGCACAACATTTTTATTTTTAATTTAAATCCAAGGGAACCTTTGTACTTTTATTTTTAGTTTCCAGGGAAAAACGAAATAAAATAGAATAACAAATGCGCTTCTAATAATCAGGCCCTCGATCCACCCCAAATCTCCTTTTCCCCTCCCCCTGTTCGCCAGCACCCTCCAGCTTCCCGTGTTCTAAACTCCCAAGGACGCGCGTGTGTGTTTTTTGCTTTGCATCGCCTGCTAAACAGTGGGGGCGGCGGGGGGAAGGGTGAATATACCCCCCAACGAAGGGCTAATCACGATCGACGACCACCCCGGGTAGAAAATGTGCAATCGACCCGGCAAATGCCTCGGCAGAATGATGGTTAAGTAGAGTAGGCGCTCGCCTGCTTGACACGTGCTCGCAGCAAGCAAACGAGCGATGGGTGTGCACTTGCGCCAGTGATGAATGTGATTAACAGGGCATCGCCGACACTGCCTTGTTTCTAATGTGCCTGTGACGGTGTCATTGCTCAAGTAGCACGTCTGACAAATTCGTCACGGCTAAAACACGATCACATTAACAACAGCAACAACGACCGCGCCGGCCGTTGTGACACACACGCACACGTCTGTAGCCCGACACTTTGAGGTTTCCGCGAAGCGCAGATTTTTTTCATCGCGTTTGGAAAAAATAAATTGTCCGCAACTAATTGACTCGTCGTACAATAAATGGAACGATTACAGTATTTGGGCAAACTCCTGTTAACCCTGCACGTTGAAGGGTTGATGGATCACGGAGGTATTACAACTCTCAAATACCCGCTCGGCCTCGAGCTGGTGGTCACTCTGGTCAGTGCAGCGAATGGGAATTATTGAATCAATTTGAGTGGAGTTTGGAGTTTTTATCTACGCGTACCTGTGTGCTGTTTTTCTTAAAGTCACAAAGATTATTTAATTGGTCAGATATCTCAATGCAGGATACTCGTGAGCAAGGTGTCTTGAGGCTATTGTGAGGCTTTTGTAAGTTAATGGGAATCGTTATTATAATTATCGATGGGTTTTTTCACCCCCGCAGGAAAGTGAAACATAATCAGAATCAGTATTTATAGTGGAGGAAATCCGATGAGCTGTAAAGCTCTTTTTGCACAGATGTTCGGTCGGGGCGGGTCAGAACGTTACAATAAGAAACAATAACAAAGACACCAAAGGAGTGCAAAGTATAGGAATCGTAAACAAAGCACTTAAACAATAAAAACAAATCATCTCTGGACATGACTATTTTGTTTGGCATAGGACAGCATTCTAAAGGATGGCCCAGATGCCTTGTGGCCCCCCTTCCCCCAATTAAATTATCTAAAACGTAACTTATCTTTTTAAAGTAAGGTTTCGTTTAAAATTATGAATAAATATACAAAGTGGAGAAACGTTTTTTTAGAGCTCCATTAATTGGGGAGTCACAAGACATCTTGACCGCCCTGTACATTGTGTAATACAACAGCCGTATCCATTCATCAATTGGTGTTATTAAGCGTGGTTGGATTTTACATTTCCGTGGGATCCCACAAGATTCGTTGTGGGTATTTTTGACCATTTTATGTTTTCCTTGCGGTATAACTTATAGGAATCAATACAACTTAAAGTGCATCCCTTCAACGTGAGCTTGATGCCACGTGTGCTGCTCTGGACAAGGACATTTCATTTCTCTCTCTCAATATTTCTGTCAACGGAAATATGCGGCGATCCATATACCAGTGATATACCACGAATACGAGCTTGATCAATTAATAGCAGAATTAGAGGGGGGGGATCTGTAAGGATGCCATAAACATGCACCACATTCTAAGTTGCATGTGTAGAAATATGTTGGTGATTGGCTCAATATTTACTGTAAATAATATGACTACAGTATAGCTTAACACAATTAAATATTTACTAAATATAATAATAAATGTGCAACCCTTTTCCACTGCTGGATACAGCTCTACCCATGCCGTCTTGGTGATAGGGGGTTGATTGACCATACTTCACCACGCTGGTGGGGGTGTAAAGGCACAGGACCGGTCCTGTAATCACTCACCAGTAACGTTAGTTAATGTATATACTACCCATGTCATGTATCTCCCTATGCAATCTACCCCTGTCATTTATTTACCTTCCTAATGTATCTACCGATGTTATTTATCTCCGTAATGTATCTACCTACGTCATTTACCTATATCATTTATCCACCTGTGGAATCTCCCCTCGACGATTGTAACGCCACTGCCAACCTCAGCGTTGGGGGCGGACAGCTGCGTGAAAAGAGCTTCGTGGCTCATCGGATTTCCCCAGCTTCAAACAAATCCCTGTGCCGATGTTCGCCCGTGGCCGCGGAAATCGAACTCGGCTCGCCTGGGTTTCGCCGCAGCAGCGCGCTAACCACCGCGCCACCGCTCCACCCACGCTGCCGCTGCTTGGGTGGAATAGAATGTAACTTATTTTAATTACTTTAATGACCTCTTCTGCAAACTCCACCCGTCACCGCGTGCTATTACATGCCAGGTTGTGTCGCTAACACAAAGACAAAGATCCCCCCCCCCCCCCCCCGTATAGCCTGTGACAGATTGTTGGGGCAAGTGCTGTTAGCGAGTAGCAGCACCACGATGGGTGGGGGTGTGTGGCCAGCACCACTCCCTTACAGCCAGTTAGAAAAATAACATATTTAAAACTGTTATGGCTAGTGATGCAGTTTACACAAAGGTTAAACGAGGCCTCATTACCTGCCGCACGGTAGCATTTTTATAACAGTATTCATTACAGTTAAAAAACTTCTTGAAACAGGTTGATACGTCTTTAAATGTTGATGGGCTCTGCTGATGAGACACAGAAAAGCGAAACCAGCCCAGGGTATTTTGTTTGTTTTTGTGTTCATGCGAAATGCTGTTGGTCAGCCAGCGTAAGTCTGGGAGGCTAATAGGCGGATGGACTGAAATGAATGGAATTTATCAGGTGTGATTCAAATGGTGAGATGAATGTGTCTCTTTCAACAAACACATCTGTTCATGAACATGCAAAAAAAACAAGCTGGTACACAAATTCACGTCTACTCATGTCATTGAATCCCCATCCTTTTCTTGGTTCTTTCGGTAACGTCTTTACCGAAAGAACCAAGAATATGAATCCCTGCAGTCACGAAAGCTTTAAATAAAAATGTAATCCCCATCGTTACTTTACACACAACTCTACAGGGCGATCCTTTGTTATTATTTACACGCTTTCATTTAACTCACTCTGTCTGTTGTTGTCGTTGTTGTTGTATCCTCAAATCTTGTAACTCAATTTTAACCCACTTCCCAATGTGGTATCGACTGCAAACTTGGTATACTTATGTCATACTGATGACAATACTATATGATATCATAAAAAAACGAAAACATATTTTAAAACATTCTTTTAAATATGTTATGTCTATCTTCTTGGTTCTTTCGGTAAAGTCACGTAGAAGGGAAATAATAAAATATTTTTTTTCTTATTTTATTCAGTTTTATTCTTATTATTTTATTATTTCCCTTCTACGTGACTTTACCGAAAGAACCAAGAAGATGAATCCCTGCAGTCACGAAAGCTTTAAATCGAGAAATGTTTTGTCTAATTGTCCACGGTAAATTGACGTTGGCTGTAATCGGGGCCACTTCCTAGAGTCGTGGAGTTCTGCCTTTACTAGTACATTTCATAAAAGCGTGTTTTTTTTTTAATATGACTTATTTACAGGGAAAAGACGACGCGTCCTCGTGCAACCAGCATAGCGCTTGGGACGCGTCTCTCCACGTCTAACCACCAATCTCAGTTACGAGACGCTTTAACCACTCCTCTCTCTCTCTCTGGTACACGCTCAGTCGTCGCTCTCACGATTCAATCACCTGCCGAGCAGCAGCGGGAGGCTAATAGTGGCCCATTTGTAAATCAGTGCGGGGTGGGAGGGGGGTTAGTTCAGTCAACAACTCGGAGCGCCCCGTATAGAACACCAACAACCATATAGGTCAAGTCAAAACATGCGGGAGCTATTCTGGTAGCCCTATTTGTGTGTGTGTGAGTGCGTGCAGCGAAGTGTAGAACTGTGACGTGTGTTTTACATGAGCTGTGTGTGTGCAGCAAAATGTGAGGATCGTACCTTGTGATTAATATGAATAGTGTATGTGTGTGCGGCAAAGTACAGGGCTGCACGATATATATATTGATATGAGTTGTGTGCGTGGTGTAGCAAAGTGCAGGACCGTACCTTATATTGGCATGAAAATCAGCTGTTGTCCTGAAACTTCAAGCCGACGCAAGTGCCGCTTAAATCCAAAAGTTGCGTGATCACGTATGATATAAGCGATATTGATTGCACACACTCAATAATTATACACCAACACAAAATCGAAGCTCGAACAACAACAACAGCCCCCAAAGATCTCCCGCGTAGTCTTTAGAGAATAGTGGGGGTGCGAAAAAAGCCGGCACAGAAAGATAGCCACAGACACGCACTCATGTACTCATCCTACACAAGTGCGCGCGTGGGTGTGTGTGTGTACTCTGTACTCAGGAGTTGTGAATCCGCTCGAGTTGGGTTCTGACGCCAAATTTATAAGGTGGCATTCGTCACTCCCCCCTCCTCCTCCTCCTCCCCTCTCCTCTGTTGTTATTGTTTGATGGAGGGAAGAAGCCAAGGCAATGACGGGAAGTGGTTTTCGAAGAAGCGGGCGATGGAGGGTGGTGGTGGTGGGAGTGCGCGCGTGTCTCTGTGTGTGTGTAGGGAAAGCCCCACGCGTGGTTTGGCTTCCCACTCAGCAGCCGCAGTCACTTTGACCCACGCGGCCCGCGTGGTTGGATTGGGTGGGCGATGTGTGAATGAGTGAGCGAGTGAATGACCGAGTGAGTGAATGAATTAACGAAGTGATTAGTTAGTGTTGGGGGAGGGGAGGTCAATGGGTGAGTAGGTGAATCAATTAATGAGTACATGAGCGAATGAGTGATTGAGTGCGTGAATGAGTAAGGGAACACATTTGTTCATGAGCGGGTAATCAATTGGTGAATCAATAAGTGAATGAATGGGTGAGTAAATTAGTCAATTCATAAATTAGTTAATGAGAGGGAGGAATCAGTACGTAAGTATACGAGTGAATGAGTGAGTAAATGAGTTAGTGAATCAATCAGTGGAATAGTGTTTGAGTGAATGATTGAGTGAGTGAGTGAGCGAGTGGTTGAATCGTTGAATCAATTTGTTTATTGGTGGAATAAATGAGTAGGTTCATGATTGAATACCAAGTGACTGAATGGATGAGTGAGGTAGGTAATGAGTATAATCAATTATTTAATTAGGAGGGTTAATTCGTGAGTGAATGTGTAATTTAGTGAATGAGCCAGTAGCATAGTGATTAGTGAATGAATGCGTCAGTAAACAAATACATCCATTAATGAGTAAATTCATAAATTAATCACTCACTGAATGAATTAATGAATGAAGTAACAATGCATTCGTTACATCAATGAGTGAGATAATAAAAGGGTAAGTGAGTGAAAGACGAAATGAAAATCATTGACGAGTGAATAGGTGTGTGAATCAATTAATGTGGTGTTTTTTATTATTGTTTTGTTTAGCTCTGAAAAGTTCACTGAGTCTCACGACTTTTTTTCCAGGAGGGTCTTGCGAAGTCTTCTGGCGTCACGGTGGCGAGATGTTAACTCCCTCGCGTGGTCTACAGGAGGGCGTGGGTTCGATTCTGACCCTGACGCTTGCTGTATATTTGGAATTTGCGTGTCTCTCTCCCCGTGGTCACGTGGATTTTTCTCCGGATCCTCCGGGTTTTCGCTCCACATTTGGCATCAACATCACGCGCTTAGAGTATTTGGCTGCTGTACATTTCCACACGAGAAGCCACTTCGTTGCGCTGTCAATTGTGGCCAGGTCGATTCTGAAAAAGAGCTACATAGCTCAGTGGACCTTGGTAAAATAAAAAATAGATTAGTTTTTTTCGTTTTAGTCGGGGCGATGTTTGCTGCTTTGTGTAAATCCCAATTGATTATTTTGCAGATAATGTTTCAGCATTGGGATGTTATGGCAACACCAGGTACACTGTGGGTTTTTTTGTTGTTTACCCCTATGGGAGCAAACCGAAGAACCCCAGAGGAACTCAACGCAGATCGGGAACGAACCCAGGCGCCTCTTGCTGTGCTGCATTCACTGTCACCATCGTGCCGACTCGGCCTCCTTAATGTGTGTGGGGAGATCATCGTGTTGGACAATCGATGAGTCGGTTCAGTGAGTGAGCCTGGTCATTCATGAACGGGTGATTGAGTGAGTGCGCTGGTCAGAGCGTTTACCGGTGCTCTGTTCTCCAGCTGAAGTGTTTGACCCGACTGACTCGGTGGGTCACCACACTGAGCCCTTCACCACTGAAAACCTGGGTTCGAATCCTGGGTTGAAGCCATCCATGATTAAACCGAGTTCACAACTGTGGCGAGTGAATGTCTCTGCCCCTCCTTGGACCTCCTTTCTGTGCTGTCAAAAAGGGTCAATGTCTAACATATTAAGGCCACGGTGTCTTTTTGACGAAAGTTGGTGTCGCAGTGAGTGTAATATTAGCGACGAGTGCACGCAAAAATGCACATTCCATTTGGCTTTTCGCTTAATTTAGCTTTTCGCAATTGTAGTAAAAACATTACCGTGAGATGAACAATATTGTCGTGATTTCAGAGAGTATTTATGTAACATAACCGTCATCATCATGCGGAGGGTGGGGGCATTAACTCGCTGATACAGGGCGGTGGAAATACTCACTTAGACAATCATAGATAGAGGTGTCACCATCTCGTGACATTGAGCCCCTGCACGACTGTAACATGAATCACACATCTGACTGTGACTCATGCTCGGGCATGCACGATACCACATGCATATGGTGCAAAATGCTTCGGAGGCAACGGTCCGTGGCTCACGTTGATTCCAGAAAACCTCCAAACCCAACTGGATTGCGAAGTGGCCAAGCCACGGTAGCACAGCAAATGGATTATCGAATCCATCTGTGAGGATCTTTGAGTGTTTGTCCCTTTTGTTGTACGTGGGGGTTTTCCTGAGCACGCCCGTTGTCACCCACCCACACACAAATGTGTCTTAATAAGAATTGAGTCAAACGTCCCAAGAACAGGAAATTTGTGAAAATTAAGACTTGAAACTCGGTGAGGTGTTACCAACATATGTAATAGAAATCTTTTCGGTAAAGTCACGTAGGTAAAAATAAATAATAATGAAATAAAATAAAAAATACTAATGAAAAATAAAAAAATTGAAATAAAATAATAAATCACGACGTTTCGGAGGCAACACAAGTCTCCGTCATCAGGTGGGACCGTCACAGCTAGATTTACTGTATCACGTGATACTTGATACAGTAAATCTAGCTTGATACAGTAAATATAGCTGTGACGGTCCCACCTCATGACGGAGACTTGTGTTGCCTCCGAAACGTCGTGATTTATAATTTTATTTCTATTATTATTTCTATTATTTTAATTATTTATTATTTATTTTTACCTACGTGACTTTACCAAAAAAACCTAAGAGTATGAATCCTTGCAGTCTCGAAAGCTTCAAACCTAGAACAGTAATCTTCTCGATGGGCTAGAGCAGTGTTCTTCATTGCAAGGCCCGCAGTTCACTGGTGGCCCCTGTTGGCCTTTAGTTGCGGCCCATGACGTGGAGTCCCCAACAATCACACGAACGGTGAAAACACAACCCCATCATCACCATCATCGTGCTGCTATGAAACCCCCAATGGATTCAAATGGTGTGGCGGCACTCACGCTGATGATGTCTTATCGGCGAAAGTGGCCACCCCCCCATGAATATTCGTGAAGAACACTGGGCTAGAGCCTCACAACTTTAATCACAGAGCTATTAGCGATTGGTCAGTCTTGAAGTGTGCAGCGGTTCCTTGTGAATGATGATGATGATGATGACGATGTCGTATGGAGGAATAGCAACATTGCACAATGTTAATATAACGCTTAGTTTAAAAGGCTGGCAGAATGTAATAACTTTTTTTTCAGGAAGGACCGTCAGGTTTTCGCAGTAGGAGGGGAGGGGGGCCTATGATTGCTAAGTACAATCCACATTTTTGTGGATGATGTCGCGGAAGCATTAATGTCCACCGTGAGACAGAATGGCGCGTCAGGCGAACGATGGATTCGTGAATCTATCTGTGTGGAGTTTTTAAGTGTTTATCCTATCTGTGCGCGTGGGTTATCTCTGATTTCTCCGTTTCAAGCCCTGTTAAGCTGAACATAAGTTTAATATGGCAATCATCCCAGTGCAAGATCCTCCTGAAATTGAGTCTTGAGATTTAGCAGTGAGTATTTCTTGAGAAAAGAAGAGCATTTGTGGGTTTTTTTTTCCACTGCAGCCATGTACATTGCCAACTCCCTCATCCCGTTTAGCCTCAAGACTTTATTAATTTCTCCTCTTTCACTAACTGCCTCAGCTCTATGAAGCGTCTCGATGAAGTGTCTGATCCAACAAGAGCACACAGATTTAGTATATATATATTTTTTTAAGTTGCGTTGGTTTCGGAAATTTTTGCTGGATGGGAAACAAACGCTCTAAGATAAAGCCAACGCTAAACAGACCCGCCATAGTTGCACAATATTCCTTAAGGACCTTGTACTCGTTCATATTTTTTACTACTCGTTCTCTGCACATTCTTAGTGTACTATGCAGGGCCATCGCCCGAAACGTCGGGTATTATTTCCTATTAAGACCACAGTGTTATTGACCAATGCGTTCTCTTATTAAAGTAGTACTAGTGACATAGGAGGTAAGGGTAAACACAGTTCCATAACCGCTGTTATTTTTCTCCATAGACTATTACATCGGCGTGAGTGATGCAATGTCGGAATCCCAACAAAACCAAAATACCCTTTCACATCGCCTTATCGTACAAGTACTCTGTCTGGGGAAAGTTGTGTCGGCGGATACCTGTGAAGGGATGGCGTGGCTCACAATTGGGTGGTGTGATCAGTGTTGTTGATGTTCACACGATACCCCCGGAATCCGGGTAGAGAGAGAGAGAGAATGCCTACGCAATGCTTCATACTGTTTAGGACAAGATTTGAGCCATTTCCCATTCCCCACGGGATTTTTCTTCGCAAGGGGGCCCAGTAATTTCCCCCGAGACGTTCGTCCGGCATTGCACGCCCGCGCTGTCGCCTTTCACACCACACTCTCAACAAAGATCCCCCGTCTCGCCTGCGACAGACTGTTGGGGCAATTGCCGCTAATAGCGGGTAGCAGCACCTATGAAGGCCGGACGCGGTGGCACACGCGCGGGTGTGTGGTGGCCAACGCCACATCCAACCCGCCTTTGTCTCTCCCCCCCCCCCCCCCCAGTCCTGACGTGTATGGAACACTGCACCGGGTGCTCATTTACGGCTGTGTCGACCCAGGTATAGGGGCACGGGTCGCAAACCGAAATATCAAGAAGAGCCATTTCTCTTTTCGAATTCGGAATATTTATTCTAAATAAATAAAGCACTCAA